AAACATGGCGTCGCGTAAAGAGATCGCAGATAGACGAGCCGCTGGTAGTAATGAAGAACGCATCGCAAAGGGGACACGTGAACGCGCATACCTGACGACCGCTTTAACAGAAATGATCGCGTCGTTAGCCAACGTTTATTTGCGCTACGTTGATAACGAGAATGTGAAGTAAGAAAAATGCTGAACAAAGCAGCGATTCCGAGGTAGCTAGCTACAAAGGAAGAAATGGTAGATGGGGGTGAGGTAAAGCACGAAGCGAAAGAGCGCTCGCGTATCGTTTAACATACACATCTGTAACGGCTGGGTATGTATTCACATAGCCAATATCGCGACATAGAAAAGAGTAAATGGTACTTTCCAAGATGGCGTTAGAACGGACCGTTAAAACGGAGCTTCTGATCAAAGCGAAATTTCTATGTACCGACAATGTTTTTACGTGAAATCGAACATGTCCCATTGGGATACCCACAGAGAATATGATAGAGGAGACGTAAGGAAGGAAACTGCCGGGAAGAAAAAGGGTAACTTTACATTACGGCGATAAATATAATTGTATGCGATTCTCTCTCTCTCTCTCTCTCTCTCTCTCTCTCTCTCTCTCTCTCTCTCTTTCCCTCTCTCTCTCTCTCTCTCTCTCTTTCAAAGAAGATCCAAAATAAATTCAAACAATTCGAAGCGATTGCGAAGTCGCTCGGCCAGAAAAAAAGAGAGCACGAAAGTTTCCTTCGCAGAGGAACCGAGAGCGCGGGAAGAAATGAGGTCGTTTGCGAATATCTTTGCGTAAGTTTTGCGCCATACGTAGGAGACCGTATACGTAGGAGACCGTATGTAGCGAACGGCGTTTGCCAAATATTCCTGGAGACAGAGTAACGCGTCGACATATCGGAACTCCGTCACGCAATCGAAATTAAGATTCGTAGAACAGCGTTGCGTTCATTATCGAGGTGATAGATCGAGCATATCTGAGAAGGAGCGTTAAGTGGAGAATATTTTTTCGCGTCATTGCATAAACGCGTGTTTGCAAGCAACTCGACGCTTGCATATTTCTCTTTTCGAAGCAGCGTTACCTCAACTCAATCTGTACGCTCCATTCGATAGCATTTTTGCAATATTTTCTGTCGCACTGGAATACGCTATCGCCGCCGTAGCCGATGAAATTTTTTTTTAATTCAGCGCTTAACAAATGCAGGACCTCCCGGGCTTCAATTCCAGCGACAAGTTGCAGCGAAAGTAAAAAATACCGCGGTGCGGACCAAGTTCCACAAATTTTTCGCGGAACGCGAGGAAGTCGAAATTAAACATTTATCGCACAGTTGCACGTTAATGACCCAGAAAAAACTGTATACGCCGGAACGGTCAGGATACAGCAAAGAATCACCCGCAGAGAGTACAGAACCGGAGCCGAGCAAAGAGAGACAGGAGGGAAAGAAGAGAGGGAAGAAAGAAAAAGACAGAGGGAGAGAAAATGAGCGAAAAAAGGAGAAAGCGAGCGAGAGAAAAACAGGTGCAGGGGGAGGGTGAAGAGAAGGAAAATAATTATAGCATTATTCGCAGGGGTGTACTGCGGCGGCGTCGGCGACGAGATGGACAGAACGAAGCGCGGAAAAGAACATCGGCGGCCCGCTAAACAGAGCAACACGCGTGAAAGGAAGAGCGAGGCAAAACACAGAAAGGAAGCCCTCCTTAATAAAAGACAAGGGAATATCTGCGACCTCACGCCTGGTCGTGACAACGACGTTCGCCCATCCCATTCGCCCGCTTCAGCATCCTTTGAGCGGAGCCGTTGCCCCTTCCCGTCCTCTCTGCCCGTTCCCTCTCGCCCGTCGTGACCCACCGAGACAACCCCTGGATCCCCAACAATCCGACAGTAGGGAAAGGGAGATTATACTCCGTTGTGTCGCTCCTGCCTTTTCACGTTGAGTCGCATATACTCTCTCGACTAAACAGGCCATTTCATCATCGCTCTCGGGTTTTCACTCCGTACTGATCTCTCTCTTTTTTTCATTTTTTGTCTACATTTATTTTTTCCCAATACTTTAATCAGAAGCATCTTCGAATCCCGAGGAAGCTTCAGCGCGCGCTCTTGGTAGAATTAAATCTGTCTGAAGAGGAATATTTGAATTACGACATACTAAAATTGCTTATAACGAGACTCACTGAGACCCTCTGCCATAGTCATTTTCAGGATAACACTTGATGTGTACATATGAAAATGAATGTTATATCCTGAAAATATCGAAGTTAACGAGACTGGAGTCAGCGTAAAAGTACAATCTTTTGTAGACCATTCTACAATCGAGAATTCCGCACTTAAACGAGGACATGTTGCAAACTTGTGACCCGAGAGCAAATTGACGATCTCTTGGAAATGAAAGTGGCGGTTCGTCAAGCCAAACTGAATATAAGCAAAAATTCAACATCACTGGTGTTTCTCACATTCTGACTACACTTATTTGTCACATAAGCATTTCATAAAAAATGCATCGGAAAACAGAATAATAGTATATATAAAAAATCCACAATTTTTATCATCAGTGAGACGCTGTAAATTAAACTTAAATTTACCAAAAAGTCCTTCAAATATGCCTCAATATTTCCTCTTACTTTTCGAGCAATAAATACAAGTCAGCTGTCCTGCCTGCGCAGCAGCTCTCTATTTCAAACAATTCGTACGCACAATTTGCAAAATGATTGCACGTATCTATTTTAGGAATGGCTGCCACTCACCGGAGGAACTGTTTTGCGGTTGTGTGCACGGTGTTGGCGGTGGTATATACGCGAATGTACGCGGCGTTAAGAGCGGTGTAACATAAAGGAAACAAATATGGATTAGCCGAGGCAAAGGGAGAAACCGAGAAAGGGATATCGATGCGCGTGGCCTCGATTCAGAATCGCCCGAAATGCGAATCTCTCGAGTTTGGAGGCACTCGGAAAATAATTAGACCCATCGAGTTCCGTTGCGCGGTCTAATGAGAGGCTTCCTCGGGCAGATGCGACGGAATCTCCGCGATCTTCTCGCGCGGAATGCTAATCGCCCGCAATTACGCGATTGTGCTTTCAGGAGAGAGAGAGAGGGAGAGAGGGAGAGAGAGAGAGAGAGAGAGAGAGAGAGAGAGAGAGAGAGGACAGAAAAATAATACAAAGCAGCAAATTCATGTTGCGCCTACGTAATCTCCAAGCGTGTAATTCCGAGCGCGTCGCTTCAAACATCAAAGACAGATTTGAATTTCATTTTTGTTATTTCTTTTTTTTTTTTTGAACATAGCAATATGCGAAAATGTCATTCCCTCAAAAATTCAAATAAAATCCTTTTTCAGCGAATTTGTAGAAGATTCAACGCGTATCTCTAACTGGTTGTACGAGGCGCGTCAAGCTGTGCTCACATTTGTTAATTTTAATTCGTGATTTATATCCTTGCTGTTATTATGTTAATCTTTTTTTAACGTATCACCGTAATTGCCGTCTGAACTATAATATTAGAATTACTGACGACTAACGTAACTTATGTGGAACTCCACTACTGTGGAGCAGTCGAAATGTGACTGGTTTTCGAAAGAATATTCACGCGAGAGCAAGAATGTTTATTTATTTCTTTTTAATTTTATTCAATATCTATTAAAAATATAAAATCTGTCATTGTATAAATTTAAGTAATTTTTACAAGAAATTACAAATCAATCGCTTTTTTGACCGCTCAGTAATTCTAGTATTAAAAAATGCATTCTAAAAAAATTATACTGAAAAAAGAGGCAAAACCTTCGCATTCTCTTGATATATTTACGAGTTTTGTCTCGCACACCTTGTTCGTTTTCCCTTCTTTGTACATTTTATTCGTTTTTTTTTCATCATCTTCATTCGTTCATCAAACACGAGTTTGCGCGAAAAAAAGGAAACTTCCATTCGTACTTTGTAATTTTTATGATGCGTCTTAAGATCACATCTACGCAGGAAACAGATATGAAATATTTTATATTAATGATACACTGTTTTTTATGAACCCCTACTGCGTATACCATACATATTTGACTGCATAGTTGAAATCTCTCTCACGTCGACGCTTCAATCAAATTACATATTCGCTTATCGTTCATTTTACGATGATCTCGCCCTTAGCATGATAATATCGATATGGAGTTTCACAAAGGTAGGAGATGCAATAACGTGTGGAGAGCCAAAGTTAACGCATGCCTTCATTTATAGTGCAATATCGTCATTAAAATTTCCTACATCAAAATTGCTGTTAAATTATGTAATCGCTGATGCATTATTAACTCGCCGCCGCTGCCATGAGATCCAATAAGAATGTTCAAAATGCGGAACAGCATTATGACAAATGAGGACAGATCGGATATCGATACGGGAATGCGCGAATCCAAAACTTATCAGATACGCAGACTAATGCGCTTTATTCGCACTCCAGCAATTTCTCGCACCGACAAAATAATTAAGGCACACAACATGTATAATCGATCAACTGAACGCTCATTTCATGAAACTACGAAGTCAAATCAAATTTATATGTCTCTTGTCACAAACGTGTGCGCAGATTATTTACTTTAAAAATAAAAGAATTGATGGACATGCGCAACATCGCAAAAAATCAAAGTCTCGAAATTCAGAAACTGAGATAATTTTCCGAAAAATCATAAATATCGAAATTTGAACATATATTATACACATATACCTAGATACATATGTTAAACATTATCCCTTAATAAATAACTTGTACTGACTTCCGTAGTCCTATTTTTCATTCTAATGATTATTTTCCACACCTGACTTATACAAATCGTCTTCCAGACTGAACATCTCAGGTGCTTATAAGTGCCCGCATGTGTCTAGCAAAGAGCTGCCGGACCTTAACTTTTCGACTCTCAAGGTCTCGCCAAAGACAACTGAGTCTCCGCGAGGCGTCTGAGCGAGTTGTCTGAGCATGAATCAGCTCGCATAGCGAACATTGAGAGTATTTATCTACGAAAATGACTCAGAGACAGACTTACGTGTTGCGCAGGACAACTCGGCGAACAGCACGATCGACAGTAATCCAGCCGCGAGGAGCGTGGTCAGGAAGAACGATCTCGAGCTGCAGCCCATCACGGCATCACTACCGATCACCACCCGTTTACGTTGCAGTAGTCCCTTCTCGGCGGATCACCGACTCGGCGTGTCGTCTCGAACTCGGCGTCTGCCGAGACTCGTCCCTTTCCCAGCTCAACGCTCGAAGCTCTCACTGTCACTCCAGCGGCGAAAGAGTCCTCCGGCTGTCATTCGCGCGCGAGGCTCCGCTCGAACACTACCGCGCGGACGCGTCGCGAGCGCGATTCAGCATCGACGATTCAGCACCGTCACGCGAAGCTGGACTTCCGCCGCAACGCCGGACATGAACCTTTCGTCCGCGTCGCGCATCTCTCTTCGTGTGCACCACACCTCTATCTCGGGCTTCCTCTCTCTCTTTCTCTCTCTCTCTCTCTCTCTTCGTTCCTCCCTTCGGTTCTTCGGTGAATCACACCGGCACTTCACAACTCGAGCGGCCACGGACGAAACGCGTCCACGGCACACGAGACACAGGACGCACCACCGCGGACGATCACACGGAGAGAATCTGCTATTTACCTGCAAGCTTCGCGCGTCACCAGATGTCTCCTCGACAATGCGATGACGACCGTGAGCCGCGATTCCTCCGCCTCCGACCGAGAGTATCGCGAGAGTATCAGTCGCTGACGGAGACGAGTAGTGCCTCGCAGTCCCGTGGCGGGAAACCGGGACGTCTCGCCGACGAGTTGCGTCCGCTATTAATTCCTACGAAGCGGAAAGATCGCGATAACGAGGGAGGGAGCCTTGTGAAGTATAGCGCGGATCGGTTGATTCATTGCCGCCGAATGCATGGGATCCGATTATCGAGCTTTGGAGGAGCCGATCGAATTCCCACGGGTGCAACGTCGACGTGAAGGACCTGTCAAACTTCGACGCTAAAGCGCTGTGCTTGTAAACGACGCGCCTTCAAATCGCCCGGTGGAACTCCGGTTCCACGAAGAAAGAGCTCGTCGATCGTTTAGCAACGTGTTGTTACAACTCAGCTGGATTCATCCCCAGCCCCGATTCGCGCGTACGCGTTCTCGCGTTACCGGAGAGTGACGTGAGTGCTCCGATTTACGGGCGTAACGAATCGCCGATCGAAGTATTTATAAATGAAGATAGCGATATCGATCGACAGTTGTTAATGCGATTAACGCGATAACGCCGCTCACAGCGTCTTCGGGAAGCGAGTTCTGTGCGGTGCCCGTTGAGCCCGTTTATATCTGGTCTTCCGAAGGATCGATAGCGCAGGGGGCAAGAGAGGAGAGGGGAGAATACTCGACGCATATATAACGTGTTAATTTGCGTTATATTATATAACCAAACGCGTTACATCTGCGCTGATTCCCACACGGCATGCGTAGCTTTTAAAATCTCTCGACGAACACGCACGTGCGTAGCACGTCGGCGATTACGCCGGCAGCATTTGGCAACGATTAATCGTTAAGCCGCGCGCTCTTTCGGCACAAAGGGCTTCCGTGATTGGAAAATCGCGGGATAACGATGACCGGCGATCCTGTGACTCATGACGTCATCGTTTCCATTCGGTCCCAATCGAATCTCGTAGAAAATTCAAAATCAGGGCGCGCACAATCGCGGCGAAAATGCGCATGCAGCGCTAGTCATTTAACGTTTGCCTTTCAAGCCGCGATGATTTACGCGGTTAATTGAGGTATCGGATAATTTCGGGCCGTCGGCTGCCGAAATCCGCCCTTCGTGAGCAAGCGAGCGCGCGATTCGAGTGCGTGGTATTCGGGACGGGGCATAAATCATCTTCGCGTTTCGCGCAAACGGACGGCCTTTTAAATTGATCGTCCCGGGAGGCCGGTCGAACTTGTAGATTGATACACCGATACGCTCGGCGTGCCTCGCGGAATTTTAAAAAAGCCGGTCATAAATTATCGCTCTCGGAGGCTGTGCTAATATACACTCCAGTTGATATCGGCGATTGCGTGTAATTAGGCTAATCCGGTGAGCGAGATGACGCGGGAAATGGTGGTGGTGGTGGTGGTGGTGGTGGTGGTGGTGGCGGACGAGATTATTTCTCGGACATTATACGAGGATCATCATTTCGCAACCGCTGTTGCGCTTATTTCTGTCGAGTGTTTCTTTCACACGCTCGTCTCGCACACGACAGGCGGCATCGGAAAGCGACACGTTTCCGCCAGCTGACAGTTTTTTTTTTTTCACTACGTTGCCCCATATTCTGAAACACCAAACTGCTAAACGCGTTTGCTCCGAAAGTTCGCGCGATACGTTCCCATTTGCGAGGTCCGCCTCGTAAAATTAACTAGCGCGCGCTCGTAACTTCCGTCGTATTCTCGCCTTTGGAGAACGCGGGCGCGCGCGACTCGATGTGCAAATGTTGATATTTGATATTACGTCGAGAGAGAGAGAGAGAGAGAGAGAGAGAGAGAGAGAGAGAGAGAGAGAGAGAGAGAGAGAGAGAGAGAGAGAGAGAGAGAGAGAGAGAGCACAAGAGAGACTGCAACGGTAGGATTAGAACGGCGAACGTCCGAAACTTACAGAAGTGGGTCACGGCACGTATTTAGGCAGGCTCCGTATCCCGGTATCGGTTTATTCCCACCTGTAATCACCGGCCCGCAAACCGGGTACACAAAGTCCCTCGTGCATATGCATGGTGCGAGCGGGACCGCTTTGTCCCGAGCCCCATGCCGCTCGTCTCCCTGCGTGTTGTTTCTACACTATGATTGTTCTCGTAGCCGCCGCGCATGCAAGGGCCCGCTCGCATTTCCCTTTCTCTCCCTCTGCCCCCCCCCTCTCTACGCGTCCCGTCGGGATAAAATCACGCGTGCGCCCGAAAAAGGGAAAAGATGAATATTCGACCGGCGCGACAACGTGTATCGTCGACATTTATTTTAAGAGCAAGCCGCGCGTCACAGACAGCCAACTACCTCTCTCGCTCGTAAATTCCACTCGCGTCAAATCGTAGCCACTATCTCGTACCCACTTTCTCCTTCCTCTCTCTCTCTCTCTCGTCATTTTTTATTATCACAGAGGGCAACAATAGGAAAGCGAATAGAGAAGGATATGTAATCCACACATGGCACGATAATACGGATATGCCGAACGTCGTCGTCTGGAGCTTCGCGTAAAGCACGCATATCACGGAGTGAAAAGAAATCGAAGATGCATCCGCGAGACAGCGAACACGAGGATAAATGAAGGCCAATGGTCTCGGCCCACCCTCCGCGGCCACGAAAGGCACGTGACGAGCCTTCGCTATCGGCACGCGAACTTTGGAGCATGTGACGATCGATCTCTCTCGCGCGAGTACGAGTGCGATTCTCATGTTTCCATCGGATGCGCATCGTGCGCGCTCCTCTCAGACTCGGCAGGAGGGCCTGGCCTGACCGGTGCCCTTCGAGGATTCTACCCGGCTCGGGTGTTGCACCGACACGCGCGCTGTATAGTCGATCAGCGAGCTCTCTCCCTTCGCCTCGTTCTCCCCTTCCCTCTCTCGTAGTCAGCCGCCGATGCAGTCCGGCAACAGAGAAATTCGGAACGAAACGACGCTCTCTCCCCGATCGTCGCTACATTTCAGCCCGCCCTTTGGCAAAACCGAGCACACGCGACACCCCCGCTTGAAAAATCGTCCCTTCGCACCGGGATAGCTCAGCGCACTGAGCCCGAGAGAGCCCGAGGCTGAACCCGAGAGCCTGAGCAGCATCTCTGTGCCCGACGCGGACGACAAGAACTCAAGAAGACACCTTCGCGAAGTTGGTCCTCTCCCTCGCGCGATGCTGGAAGAAGAATATCGCGAGAGTGCGTCATCCGACGCGCTGGTATCGGAGTAAATCCCCGGACACCGTGCAGCAGACTTCACAACACCTCTCGGGCCGGGGTGAACGACGGCGGTGTCGCTTACCCGCGTGAGCAAAGCCGACGTGTGGTGCGCCAGTCGCGACGTGCGAACAACACAAACCGGAAACGGAACAGATGATCGACGAGCGCGTATACGCGAGGAGTCGCGGAACGGCAAGCGAGCTTCGAGGTTCGAACGCTCTCTCGCCTCTGGCTCCGCTCTCGGGACTGAGAGTGGAGAGAGAGAGCACCGTCGGACTTTCGAGGGATTCACCACCACCACCCCTATCGGCGTGTTGGCCGGTACCCCTGCCTGCTGCCTCACGACAACCCGCGTGCTCCGTTTCCCCTGTCGCGCCGACCGATCCCACCATCGCCGACGCCGTGCGCCACCCGCGCTCTGCCGCTCCTCATCCACCCCACTCCGGAGAGAACGACGCCGCCACCCCAGGCGCTCCTACGCGGCCTGCACACTCCACTACGTGCGCTGTCGAATCGAAACCGCGCGAATCACGGGCGCGTCCGGATAAGGGATGCTCGCGATACTATCGAGGCGTCGGGAATCCGGATCGGACTTACCGAAGCCGGACGTCAGATCGCCGAACTTTCAAGCGGCTGATTATTTTCGCGAGGGATCAAGGAGATTCGTTCAAGTGGGACGGACGTTGATTGAATTTCACGAGTCATATTTCCGTTGTCGGCAATTTATTGTTGCGACATTTCTCCATTCGCTGCAACCCTTAAACTGTCACCTGCCATTCTGTACTTCTGTTCAGTGTGCTTCTGTTTCAGTGTGACTGTTGATATGTTTCCTCAATCTACTGTCCGACAGATGGTATATTTTTAGACTCTACATTCAACATTCGACATTCGACATTCGACATTCTCCAGCGTGTTTTCGATGTTGCGGTGATTTCGGCCGTTTGCTTTTCAAACTGAAATAAAATTACATGCGACTTTTATACGAAGTAAATGTAGCTTCTTTCTCAAAGACTGCAACACTCAAAGCTGAATGTGAAGTTAAGAAATGTTAGAATGGGTATATATTTTATATCACGCAGTGACTCATATTAGTAATTATCTAATACATAATAAATTAGCTAATACTGCTTCAATGGCTTGCAGTTTCGCATCGAGCAGCTGCGCGAGTCGTATCGCCGAGCAAACTTTTCAATCAACGTCCAAGATTCGTTTCCGAATAAAAAAAATGATTTCTCGAGTCACGGGTTACAACATATAGACACAAATAAATGTGTAGTCGTAATAGGTACATTCACGTCAACCGAGAATCTATGTAAATATAGATATATCCTAAACAATTTAACGTCGTATATATTTCATTTATTCCAAGTAAATTAGACAAATCAAATGCCAACTACATCAAATGATGACTACGTCATCTACTTCATTTTATATGACGTTAAATTTTCATGGCTTGATTGAGAGTCGACGTAACATTCACCTGGTCAAGGCATTTACACGTTTCAAGCATTAAAATGATGAAACATGCAATGCGCAATTTTAAAAGTGCTGCATTATTTCATTAAAAATATGCGTTTACGTTTCTCTATAAAAGATGAGGCGGTTTGAGAAAAAACTAGTCTATACTCAACAATTAAATAAAGAATTTGTGAAATTAAATGGAGTAAAATTGGCTCTCTCACTAGTTATATTACATTTTTTTAAATAATAATCAGACATTGTGTGTATAAACTTAGGAAAATATAAATATATATATTTTTTTAATAATAATTATTATTAATTTAACTGTTAATTTTATCGCCGAAAAATTAATACGTGCATTATCCCGTTTACCTGACTGTTCACATTATTCCACCTGACGAAGCAAAGTTAGTCGCTATTATTCAAAATCGCTCTGGGCTTCTCGGAACCGCTACGAGCGACTTCTAAGAACATCACCGCATAGTGAATCCGAGTTTACCAGTCATTGCAAGGATTTTGCTTATTGACTTTGGAATACTTGATGAGTTTTGAGGATACTACATTGCCGTGAATGAAATATTAATGGCGCTCACCGTTTTAGCGCGAGTATATGATTAATTTTAAACGTCCAGTGGGAAGATTCACCACAAAGCGACGCTCTCTGCCGAATGGATCCTGTATATAAACGCGTGCTACGACAGAGAGAAAGAAATTCGAGTAATTTAAGTGTCCCCCAAAATTCCGTCGCTTATAAGTCGCGTGTTTAAAGTAAAACAGAACGGCGGTGATCGGTTACAATTAGCCGGAGAACGACATCTGGCGCGGGCAAAAAGTCAACGAGGACAAATGCGCGCTTAAAAAGCGACATCGCTCCTTCCCGTCGTGTTCGCTAAAATAACTCGAGACCGGCGCGATGATGCTTTATTTTTCGGCGGGGCGAGGACGAAGAGACGGCCTCGTGACGCCGGCGGACAGAAGGACTTGTCTTAACTCCAATCACGTCGCGGGAAAAACTCCGTCTCGCCCCCAGGGTGCTATTTCCTATTTTACGGTATCTACAGGGTGCTATAAACAAGCTCCTGCCAGGGACGACGGGGTATGAAAGGAACCGAATGCGGAGCCGAGAGAAAGACCCTCGGATGAAAAGTTTGCTTAAAGTGTGTGGGCCCGCGTATTCCTCGACGATGCGAGGATTCAGAATCATCCCCGGGAGTACTAGCCGCGGACCGAGCTTTGCATACAACACCCCCACGCGGAAAGTTTACCGATACACCTCCCCCAAGAATGATCCATATCGCGCGCGCGCGCGAACATGTGATTTCTATATATTACCGGTCGATTGCTGCTATTGCTGCCTACAAAAAGTGACTAGAATGCAAGTTTCATCGCGCGGAAAATAAAAGAGCGAGAATATTTCGCGAGTTTTGAACACTGTTATAACGTAACGCTCCCGTGACGTCAATGACATGAAGTTTCTATTCTCCGTCGTCACACTATGTTCGCTCCGCTGCAGAAGTTACTCTTTTACCGCAACGACGTCTCAAAATCGTCTTCTATTGATCTCAAAAGACACGTTGCGTGAAACGACGCTTTAAAGTCCCCCTCGAGTCTCTCTTCCTCTCTTTGCCACTCTTCTCCTCTCATCTCCCCCACCTCCTCCTCCACCTACCCCATCTCTCTCTCTCTCTCTCTCTCTCTCTCTCTCTCTCTCTCTCTCTCTCTCTCTCTCTCTCTCTCTCTTACTCTTTCTGGATCTCTCATTCAACATCTATATATCAAAATCTAACAAATCCCGCCCGAGTAAATTGATTCGCACTCGACGTCACACACCTGCGGAGTCGAAATCGATTTCAACTTTCTTCGTCTGATCGCGAGGTGAGATAGAGATAGACGCGGAGACACGACGAACGATATTAAAACAATAAGATTGCCTCGCCGCGGAAGAGTCTACCGAAACTACAACCACTTCTCAGCTTCTCGTCGATTTATCGTCAGCACATCGTCCAAGGGCAGTGCTCGTCCGGCGTGTCTACCGCCGAGTTTCGCATACTCCGCCGTAAAGTTCGTCGAGGTGCCCTTTTGTCAAAACAATGTGTGCCGCGAGCGCAAGCGCGCTTCCGGCGCGGGCGATAAAGTTCGCCGATATTAACATCTTCGTCGGTGCTGTAATTTTCGCCCGGCTGATATACTGCAGCGTTTCGTTGTGCGGCGATGGCCGTATTACGGCTAATATTTCTCCACCTTACAGAACGAAAATTGAGTACTTTATAAGAAGGCGGGACATTAATAACTCGTACAGCCGGTCGGTATTTTCAGGACAGCTTAAAAGCTTCTGCCGCATCAATGATATATCGTATGCTCGCGGAGGTAGTGACACGGGCTCTGCCTGTGACACGAGAAGTTGCGAGAGTGTGTAGAGTCTACGATGAAGAGGAGACGAGCAAAATCGTCATCGCGATCTTGCACCTCGCGCTCTCGTCACGATAATATAGTTTGTTCTATTCATTACGTGTAACGTCCGAAACATGAAAATGCCTCAACATTGCACAAAAATGTGCGAAACTTAACACGCATTGTCAACCGTTCTGGTGGATTTACACGTTTCATGATAGATCGTTGGTCCAACGATTAGTCTGCTTTCTGGATGGTTTCGGACAGACATGGTGCGCTTCATTTTCAGGTTTCGTGGTATTAACACGACAAATTGCACACTTAGACGAAAGTTCAAGTTAAAGTGTATGTTACCACAGCTCGCAAGAGAATAGACGATGCTCAAAGCCTTGAGATTCACGTTGTTAACAATGTGTCGACGTAAAAAAGAATAAAATAAAATGGATTTGTCGATCCAGAAAGCGCGCTGCAAACGCGAATTGAATGAATCTTTCGGTATGTCTAAGCAAAAATATAACTAACTAGTTTGAGCTAAAAGTTAGTAGCTAGCTGTTAGAAATTGAATTAAATTTTCTAGTTTGTTGTTAGATCATTACTGGCTGATTATTCATTGAAATGTAGAATCAGTTTTGTGTGATATAACCTTGTTGTCTAGTTGTCATCAATATGTCAAGTATGATAGAATAGATGGCACTGTCAATTCTAAAATATATAATCTATTATATGCTCGTCACTAATATTTTAAAAGCAGAAACCGTATTAAAAAGTTGAAGTTACGTTGTTTCTTAAAGATTTTAGAAAAATAGAAATAAGAGCGTTACATTATTGGCAATTAGTTACAATTTTTTATTCTATAATTATAATTTCTTTTATTCAAATATCAGCTAACTTATTTCTCTAACTTATATATATCAAATAACTTATTTGTCTAGAAGAAAAGTGAATGTTACATTACTGACCAATAAAGATGTTAAACACAAATTTACTACCAAAGTTGAATTTTTACTAAGGTAAATATTGATTGACCACTACCATTGAA